CGTGATGCATGCGCTGGATTAAAGTGGTGATAGCACGTGGTTAAATGTGTAGGTGTGTTTAATGCATAGTTGGTTTGTGAAGTGTTATTTATGCTCTGTTTTCTTTTCCCCCCAGGTAACGATGGTTGACAAAAAGAACTTAAGTCAAAAAAGTAAGTCTGTGTTGTTAAATATTAAACATTGTTGCTAAATAAACAAACTTGTGCTAAGCAAGCTTAAAATCCTTATCTCAATCTTAATTTATATTTTTTCTTTTTCTTCAAACAGCCTGGAAACTGAAGTGCCTCAAATATCTTGTACTCAGTAAGTAACATTGTTTAAACTGTTTAAGCAGACTGTATTGTGGCAAGTAAAATGAATATCCTGTATAAAAAGACTTCATCATTGTATTCATGTTTACAAACAAGAACCCTGTGAGGATGAGGGCTCATTTGTTGCCAAACCTTGGCCAGCAGTGGGACTCAACGCATGTAAGAATTTTGATTACCACGCCCAGTATTTTTCTTATTGAACATTATCAGAAATGCTTCACTATATGGTAGTCAATTGCAACCTCCAGTTCATGCTGACTTTAAGGAACTTGTTTGGCTGAAAGTGTGTAATTTGGATATAAGCACCTGAAGTAAACAAATGTTTTGTATTTTTTAAAGATGCTGCATGAAATGACGATGAGGTTTGGAACAGACTTGGCGAAGAACATGGAAACATCTCTAAATGAAATGGTGCCCAAACATCATCAGGAGTGCAAAAGAAGGAAGTAAAAAAAGAAGGAAGGAAGAGGAAACCACAGAAGGTAACCACCATTTTCCCCATCCAACCTATCTATTCCATGCCCAGTGTAACGTTGCATTGTCAATGTAAAGGTTAAATTGAATGAGTGAAAACATGTATTAAAATAATGAAAGTATTAAAGGAATAGTTTACCCAAAAATGAAAATTGTCATAATTTATTCACCTCTTGTCATTTCAAATCTTTATGACTTTCTTCTTCAGAACACAAAAGATATTTTGAAGAAGGATGGTAACCGAACAATGGCGGTGCCCATTGACCTGCTGCATTAGTTTTGTGTCCATATAATTGAAGTGAATGGGTACCAGCATTGTTCGGTTACCAACATTCTCCAAAATATATTTTTTTGTGTTATGCTGAAGTAGGAAAGCCATATAAGTTTAAAATGACAAGAGTGAGTGAATGATGACAGAATTTTTATTTTTGGGTGACTATGCCTTTAATTGATTTCTGTACCTAATGGACAATAATTTGTATCTGTTTGTAGGTCTCTTTAGGAATGCTGCACTCATTTTATTGCCAGCACTATTTAAAGAAAACGCCACCTTCCTCTACTGTGTAGATAGTGTAAGTATAAAGTCTTCTGTATTTTCATTAACATTTGATGCACTTGACTTGAATTAGTCAGTAGGACTGGGCGATAAATCGATTTTATCGATTAACTCGAATGTGTAGTTTACGTCGACTTCGCATCGATCATAAAATAAATACAACTCCAGGGGTTAATACTTGTCTTCTAAAGCACAATGTTACATACAAATGGTACGTTAGTGAGATAAAAAAAAAGATTAAATTTGCCAAGATAGGTTGCTATAATTAGACTATGTATAGATAAGAGAATAACATCCAATGGGGTGGCACATCAGCTCCACATCAATAATTATGAGTCTTGTTGGTTCTTGCGTGTCACGTGCCTAGCTGTCATATCCGTGTTGTCATGAACGATTCAGTCGCAAGAATGAAAGAACCAATGAAATTCAAAGTAATCAAACTGGAGCTGACGTGGTAGCATGTTGAATGTTCATCAGTAATGTTGACATTCAAACACATTACAAAGCTTGGAAGAGCTAGGATATTATTAAATATATCTCAGATTTGGTTTAAGTGAAGAAATAGTCATACACATAGGTTGGCTTGTTGGTAAATTATGGGGTAATTTTTGGTCTATTTGATGACTTCTGTTAATTGGTGAAAAACACTCAAAAGGTGAAATGTTTGTTTTACAGGAAACCAAAGGTCCTACACCAACCAGTGTTTAACGGCTCTCCTGATCTCCTCAAGACTGAGAGTGTCAGCATTATAATGGAGGCAGACATGACAAAGACTGTGGAATGCCTGTTTGCAGTCGCACAATGACTTTTATTCAAAAATATATGCATAAACTTAAACAAGAGCATGACACAAGAACACCAATACCTGTACTAAAAATGTACTGTCAACTTGTGTAAGTTGTAGTGCTATTTATTAGATGTTTTAATTGTTCATGTATTGTTTTTTTATCTGCTTTGTCAAATATCAAAAATATATTGTATGGTTTTTCCTCATTTCAGAGATGCATGTAAAAGTTAAGTACTGTATATGTACATACAGTACATAAACAAGCTTATGTATGCTTATTGCTAAGTGAAAATGCTTAAATTAAATAATTCAAACTAAATGGTTGAATGTAATTTAACATCTTAAATGTAAAAAAAAGTTTTGCTGTATAACACAGAGTATACGGATGTGCAATTTTAAGTATGACACTAATATGTTTGTATAATCAATTGAATAAATTTAAACTTTTGGAATTTTCTGGATTGGTTATTTTTGTATTCATATAATTAACTGGTTTAATAATATAGAACCCTTAAATGGTTCTAAATAGAACCATCTAACTTGGATTTAAAGAACCATTGGGGGTTCTTTTTATGGAACCTATTAAAATGGTTCTATATAGAACCATTTTGGAGTTCCATATATGAAGCGGGTGATAGAACCATTTCTGGTTCTAAGTAGAACCATTTCTTTTAAGAGTGTAGTTTCTCTCATCCATTCCATTCCTAAATAGTGCGTTTTGTCTATCACTTTCTTGTTTGGTGTGACTAACTTGGTGATAACAATGTACCGTTACTTTCTGGATGAGATCAGCTATTTTCTCCCATTGTTCTCTGTGGCATAGGTTTATTACGGGCATTGTGGAAACCGTTGGCTTTCCATATCTCTAATTCCTTGTTCAAACCATCTGCTACATATTCTGAGTCACATGTCAGCACAATTTCCTGATGTCCTAATTCAACAGCTTTTTCCAGGGCTTTTTATTTTTATTTAACCTTTATTTAACCAGGAAGTCCCTTGAGACTGAAGTCTCTTTTCCGAGGGAGACCTGGCCAAGACGGCACACCAGTTACAATTTAAATACAAATACAACATAATCAAAAACAAACAAACATCACACATAAAAAAAAAAAAAAAAGAACAGGTCACATATGGCAGTTACATTTTTGAGTTATATGGCATTTTAACATGGCCTTAAATTTGTTTAATGGGACTAGATCATTTAGATGTAGCAAATCTTGCAAATTATTCCAGGACCATGGTGCAAAGTAAGAGAAGGCTTTTTTTCCCAGCTCAGTAAAAACCCTTGGAACCTGGTAAGAGAGCCATCTGGTGGAACGGAGATGAAAACTGCTGGAATTCTTTTTAAGGAGATTACATAAATATGCCGGCAATTTACCCAACACGGCTTTCTATAGAAAAATATGCAAATGAAGTTGTCTACGTAGACTTAGTGACGTCCAGCCTGCCAGTTCATACAGCGTACAATGAGGAGTACGGTAACCAGAGTTAGTTAAAAAGCGTAAAGCACTAAGAAAGAAGAAAGAAAGAAAGAAAGAAAGAAAGAAAGAAAGAAAGAAAGAAGAAAGATTAGTTAGAAAGAAAGAAGAAAGATTAGCTAGAAAGAAAGAAAGAAAGAAAGAAAGAAAGAAGAAAAATTAGTTAGAAAGAAAGAAAGAAAGATTAGTTAGAAAGAAAGAAAGAAAGAAAGAAAGAAAGAAAGAAAGAAAGAAGAAAGATTAGTTAGAAAGAAAGAAAGAAAGAAAGAAAGAAAGAAAGAAAGAAAGAAGAAAGATTAGTTAGAAAGAAAGAAAGAAAGAAAGAAGAAAGATTAGCTAGAAAGAAAGAAAGAAAGAAAGACAGAAAGAAAGAAGAAAGATTAGTTAGAAAGAAAGAAAGAAAGAAAGAAAGAAAGATTAGTTAGAAAGAAAGAAAGAAAGAAAGAAAGAAAGAAGAAAGATTAGTTAGAAAGAAAGAAAGAAAGAAAGAAGAAAGATTAGTTAGAAAGAAAGAAAGAAGATTAGTTAAAAAGAAAGAAAGAAGATTAGTTAAAAAGAAAGAAAGAAAGAAAGAAAGAAAGAAAGAAGAAATATTAGTTAGAAAGAAAGAAGAAATATTAGTTAGAAAGAAAGAAAGAAAGAAGAAAGATTAGCTAGAAAGAATGAAAGAAAGAAAGACAGAAAGAAAGAAGAAAGATTAGTTAGAAAGAAAGAAAGAAAGATTAGTTAGAAAGAAAGAAAGAAAGAAAGAAAGAAAAAAAGAAGAAAGATTAGTTAGAAAGAAAGATTAGCTAAAAAAAGGAAGAAAGATTAGTTAGAAAGAGAGAAAGAAAGAAAGAAAGAAAGAAAGAAGAAAGATTAGTTAGAAAGAAAGAAAGAAGAAAGATTAGTTAGAAAGAAAGAAAGAAAGAAAGAAGAAAGATTAGTTAGAAAGAAAGAAAGAAAGAAAGAAAGAAAGAAAGAAAGAAAGAAAGAAAGAAGAAAGATTAGTTAGAAAGAAAGAAAGAAAGAAAGAAGAAAGATTAGTTAGAAAGTAAGAAAGAAGAAAGATTAGTTAGAAAGAAAGAAAGAAAGAAAGAAAGAAGAAAGATTAGTTAGAAAGAAAGAAAGATTAGTAAGAAAGAAAAATAGATTAGTTAGAAAGAAATATTAGTTAGAAAGAAAGATAGATAGATTGGTTAGAAAGAAAGAAAGATTAGTTAGAAAAAAGAAAGATAGATTAGTTAGAAAGAAAGATAGATAGATTTGTTAGAATGAAAGAAAGATAGATTAGTGAGAAAGAAAGATAGATTAGTTAGAAAGAAGGATAGATTAGTTAGAAAGAAAGAAAGATTAGTTAGAAAGAAAGATAGATAGATTAGATAGAAAGAAAGAACGATAGATTAGTTAGAAAGAAAGATGGATAGATTAGTTAGAAAGAAAGATAGATTAGTTAGAAAGAAAGAAAGAAAGAAAGAAAGAAAGATTAGTTAGAAAGAAAAAAACATAGATTAGTTAGAAAGAAAGATAGATTAGTTAGAAAGATAAAAGATAGATAGATTATTTAGAAAGAAAGAAGATAGATTAGTTAGAAAGAAAGATAGATTAGTTAGAAAGAAATATTAGTTAGAAAGAAAGATAGATAGCTTGGTTAGAAAGAAAGAAAGATTAGTTAGAAAGAAAGATAGATAGATTTGTTAGAATGAAAGAAAGATAGATTAGTGAGAAAGAAAGAAAGATAGATTAGTTAGAAAGAAAGATAGATAAGTTAGTCAGAAAGAAAAAAGATAGATTAGTTAGAAAGAAAGAAAGATAGATTAGTTAGAAAGAAAGATTAGTTAGAAAGAAAGAAAGATAGATTAGTTAGAAAGAAAGATAGATTAGTTAGAAAGAAAGAAAGACAGATTAGTTAGAAAGAAAGATAGATAGATTTGTTAGAATGAAAGAAAGATAGATTAGTGAGAAAGAAAGAAAGATAGATTAGTTAGAAAGAAAGATAGATAAGTTAGTCAGAAAGAAAAAAGATAGATTAGTTAGAAAGAAAGAAAGATAGATTAGTTAGAAAGAAAGATTAGTTAGAAAGAAAGAAAGATAGATTAGTTAGAAAGAAAGATAGATTAGTTAGAAAGAAAGAAAGACAGATTAGTTAGAAAGAAAGAAAGATAGATTAGTTAGAAAGAAAGATAGATTAGTTAGAAAGAAATATTAGTTAGAAAGAAAGATAGATAGATTGGTTAGAAAGAAAGAAAGAAAGATTAGTTAAAAAAAAGAAAGATAGATTAGTTAGAAAGAAAGATAGATAGATTTGTTAGAATGAAAGAAAGATAGAT